AGAAAGTGGTTGGGGAGAATTTGAAACACAGATAACAATTTTCTTTTGTGATCCAAATGAAAAACCGGTATTTATTTTTTTTTTAAAACAAATAAAAGTTAGATAATAGTGAGCTAAATCGATCACTTTTAGTCTCGAATTTGATTATAGTGAAATGCTGACCTCAGGTGTGCACTGGCTCCAGTAACTGAACCCCAGTCGGACTGGGACTGGTGCATACTTAGTCTAGACTAGAATATATTATCGAAAAATACGATATGATTTTCTAGGTATGTCAATGAGCTAATATTTCATCTATTCTGTATGTTTATCTTTTCGATAATTTTGTTGTTTAAGTGACAAAAAAAACAACAAGGGATTGATTGTATTATCAAAATTGTATGAGAAAATTATTATATTGACCGTTACTCAATAGTTATTATATAAATATAAGATTTGACTAAAGTTTTATATAATCATAAAGGAATATTATTTATTTTAGGTGACATTCTATTATCATTTAAAATTATTTTCAACTGATCCAGAAGTTGTAGTTGGTAAAAAACCATTAGTTAATGAATATTATGATGAATTGGTAAATATTTGTTTGATTTAAATTTTTATCTCTCCATAAAATCTTTTATATTATTTAATAATTAAAAGTCATATAAAAATTCTAAGCATATATTTTTCGAAAGAGCATAAAATTCTGATGCAAGACAAAGAATATTTCAACGTTTGACCTGTAGAATGTGCTCTGATACAAAAATTATTTAACATAATCATGTTAATAAATTGTATATAGGATTCAATATGTTATCAATATCAATTTATTTTTATTGCTTCATCTTGAATTTTTTATAAGAATGAATAAATAATATTATCGATTTGACTTGATCATAAACATGTTCGTTTCTAACTACTATTGATGATAATAATAAAAAATCATGATTTATTCTACTGATAAATGAGGACTTCATTGAATAATGATTAATTAATTAACTTGATTATCTTACAGATCTAACATTTGCAAGAGAAAATAGGTTAGCTACAAGTCACACGTCTTTATATGTCAAATTCTTCTTTCTATTACTAATGATTTTATTTAGAGATCATTATAAATCTGATACGAAGATTTTATATTACTTAAAAAGAGACAATTTCGAAAAAAAAACATCTTACAAGTCAGATGATGATGATTACTTCATATTGATTTGATCAATCACTATTGACTAGTACCATAACTAAATATAAAAGTCTTGTGTGTGACTACGCCATTATTATTTACCAAAGATATATGATCATATAGTACTAATTGATCTAAGTTTCTAGTAAAGTCTGTTTTTTTATTTTGCAAAATGTTCGATTTATCGTAGTCGAATTCTTTGAATTCAATATATTTAAGATATTAATATGTTACTTTTGACTTTAGTTATATCACTCTCTAGTATTGTTGTTGTTGTTGTTTTTTTTTGTCATAGATTTTTCAAGAACCATCTGATTTATTAGTTCAATTACTTAATTCTACAAAATCACTTGCAGATGAAAATCGAACTATTGAAAAAGAATGTATATATATGAAAATCTATTGATATTATTCAAAAAAAATTATTTGTATAATATTTTAGATGCTATAAAAAAAACATCTACAATAGAACATATTAAAAATGTTCGTCAACGAATACGAAATGAAATTCAAGATTTAACTGAACGACTTCATATAACTCAAGAAAATATTAAACGTGTTCGACAACGATCAATTGATAATAATTTTTCTTCGAATATATTTATATCATCAACACAAGACAATATAAAACATCAAATTGAAGATTAATTTCACATAGACATATAATATATATATATGATTTTATTTTTGTAAATGATTTAAATATTTTATTCACTCTATTTTGTGAATAAATACAAGAAGATAAAAATATAAATATGACCTTCAAACTTATGTCAATGCATGTGTCTTGACAAAATTTACGATTGATTTCTTAACAAAAAAAAAGAAAAATATTGACAAAAGGCTTTTCAAAATAAAGGTAGATAGATCAGACACATAGAGCTTATTAAGATACAAGAATGGTAAACGCAATTCAAAGTTTTCCTCTTCATTGGGCAGACATTTTAGTATTAATTGCTTATTTTATTATTGTTATCGGATTTGGTATATGGGTAAGCTTATGTTAATTATTTTATTTGAAAAATAAGTTAATAAAATTCGATAATACAAAAAAAAATAAAATAAAAGATGATATTAATTTTATTTGATTGTATATTTTAGTCATCATGTAAAAATCGTGGCAGTATTGGTTAGTATTTAATAATGATAAATTATTATTAATTCTATGAGAATATTTTGTTCTTCTAGGAGGTTATTTTCTTGCTGGACGAACAATGACTTTCTTGCCAGTAAGATTTTTTTAATTTATTAATCTAAAAATAATTATTAAATGATATTTTTTGTAGGTAGGAGCATCTTTATTTTCTAGTAATATTGGTAGTGGACATTTTATTGGTCTTGCAGGTATTTTTATGTTATCTACATAGTATTGAATAATGAT